CGTAGATGTAGATTACCTCTAAATTGGGAAGATCTGCCTTATTGTTGACTGTCACATGACCGCTGCTCCCTGCCTTAGCTTAGCCAATTATTGAGTGCAGTTCCACGTGTCCCCACTAGGGTGTCTCAAGCCCCGCCCAGAAGCTGATGCCCATTGTCACTTACAGCTGCACTGTCCAGCTACTGTACAGTATTTGTGGTTAGTGTCAACTTGGACAGGTTGGGTTGGCAAGAGGTTCAGCGAACCCAGCAGGATGTCCACAAACACTAAACTTAGCACCGAACCCCAGTGAAGTCAATGGGAGGCTAAACTAGCTATTTTTCCTGTACTTTTTTGAAGGCTAAAAGGCAATCTATTGATGAAAAAAGGACTTGGGGAGCTGGGAACTCCCATGGGGGACTGGAAGCAATGTAAAAAAAAAATCATATACAATGGGAAGAGGGTATTCATGCAGCTTAAAGGTCAACACTAAAAAATAGACCAATCCTTTAAGTAACATGATTGGGGAATGCCTTGAAGCAGCATGTGAAGTTACGGAATAGCACGCTTTAGTCCTCTAAAAGCAACAATGGTGGTGGCGTTTTCCATATTATTCTAACCAGACCCTAATTGAGGCATCCAACCTGACTGGCCAGTAAAGGAAGGGTAGTAAGCGTGTGGACTCCCATCCTGTACCATACATACCAGGCCACATGCCTGGCAACATTGGGGAGGGAAGGTACTTTCCAATGCAGAGGACAGCAAAGCCTCTCTTACTTGCAAGGCACCTTGTCCAAATGTTGATGGACCAGCTCCTCTTCCCTCCCCCCAAAAATGTGGGGGTTTGTGGGGAGGGGACATATAGGAAGGCCTCACTAATTAGGTATCCTCCCTTATTAAGGATTGTGAAACATATTGATTATCAATGTTTTTTATAAAAATCCATCATGTGGCAGGATTCTATACAGCCAGGAGTCTGAGTTTAGTTTTTGATTTATATTTGTTTGACACGTTTTATACATTTCAGAACAATGTCCAACGACTATCAATGTGTATTTTATCATAAATTTCCTGCTTTTATCCTTCATTTAGAACCTAAACGTTTATATTTTCCTTTTGTTTAATTTACATCCAAAATGGTATCTTTCTCTAATAGTTCCTTCATGGTCCCGATCAGCTCCACAGCTCCCATACATCTCTATTCAGATCAATTTCTGCCTTCCCTATAGCCCCCTCGTGTGTCCCAATGTAGTATTGAGCTTTCCAACATTCACAATATACAGCACGTGCCCACCCAGCATTGGAATGCACAGCACATTTAAACTGTTTCCACTTTTGCAGTCTAATTGGGACAACACCTAGTTTAAATTTGTAACATGTTCTCATTCACGCAGCATAACTATGTAATATAAATTTAATTGCTGAGGGGATGATTTACTGAAGGCAAATAGACTGTGCACTTTGCAAAATGCAGTTGCACTCTGCAAGTGCATTTGCTCCAGAGCTTAGTAAATGAGGTAAAGCTTCACCCAACAAAGAATACCCAATCACATGTAAGAAAAACATTTTTAAAAAACTGCATTTTTGCTTGCATATGATTGGATGATGGAAGTCATCACCTGTTATTCATTTACTGAGCTCTGAAGCAACTTCTCTTGCTTAGTACAACTGTACTTTGCAAAGTGCACAGTCTGTTTGCCTTTAGTAAATCAACCCCCGTGTCCTAACAAAATGATAAAGATCTTCTGATCTGGCCTTCTGTATTCTATGTTAAAGTGGAGTACCAGCCATTTTTGTGTTTATTAAAAGTCAGCAGCTACAAAAACTGTAGCTGCTGACTTTTAATAAACACACACTCACCTGTCCCGGGGTCCAGCGATGTACTCACTTGCGCGGTCCCTTCTCTCCTTCATGGTGCCGGCATCTCAACTGTGGGCACCAGGCTGTGACACCAGGCTGGTGCCCACTGCGCATGCGCAAGTCACGTTGTGCCTCCTGATTGGTCCAGCAGTCTTCTGGGACCTGTAAAAGTTCCCAGGAGACTGCAGGAGGAAGGCGGGGGTCGAACTTCCGGCTCACTTAGCAGCAGTGAAATGAGCCGGAAGTGGGAGTGGGTACCTGTAAAAACCAGGTACCCGCTCCCCCCTCCCTCCCAAAAGGTGCCAAATATGGCAGTGGATGGGGAGGAGGAGCCAAACAAGCGGACCTTCCACATTTGGGTGGAACTTCGCTTTAATGAGAGTAAATTCAGTGTGGCCCTCTATGTCACTGTGGACAGACTGAGTTTCCTCTCATTTCAGATTATTCGAAGTAGCTTACAGTCTGCCCAAGGCCTGCTCAAAACATATACCTAGAAAGACATATTTTTTTAATAAATATTTTCAAGTACTGATTGTGAACATATAACAAACGTATAGTGGGGGTTTTTCAGATTTGACTGCAAAAGTGGAAATACACTTGTATGCTTGTCTCGCCGCTAAGAGCTCTGCAAGTTAGCCCACACAGTAGACGACCCATACAGACGACGACCCATACAGGTCATTCATGGATTTAGGATAGTTCCTGTTCCAGACAGTTTACCCACACTTTTAGGAAGTACGTGAAAGAAAATAGGAAAAAGAATTAGCAATTATATATTACTCATTCACAATGCAAATATCACACTATCCTATTCATAATACTGGGTGATGTCCCATTCATGATTCATGCCTTTTGGAATGCTTCAACATAGTTACGGAAGTGAAGGTCCAATAGACCTTTTTTTCTATTCAGTAGAGAGAACCTGTCTCCTCCTTTTACTGTACAATTACCAATTCTCTTTACACTTTGAACTTTAACCTCCCTAGCAGTATGATTATGTCAATATTTCTGTGCTCAAAGCGGTACATTTTTTTGCATGGAAATATGTCTTTTTTTTATTGTAGACCTGTAATTTTTGACCTAAAGGGACGCTTTTTGGACGCAATGGACATTTCTCAATTTCCAGGCAAAAAGAACAGTAAAAATGCAATGTAATTTTTAGAAACTCACTGAAATCTGTCCGAACAAGAGTCTAGTAAACATCCCGGGTATGATAAAATTTGAAACATGAAATAATACATTATAATATAATAAATAATCATAAAAAATAATAATCTAATAATAAATTTAATTCAATAATGTAATCAAACCAAAAACACTGAAATTTGAAATATAGCGCCAAGTTCGCACATCACTGAGCTTAGTCGCAAAATCGTTTTCAGGGTCTGATGATGAATTTCCCCAGGAATCATTATCACTCAATTCTGCAAGTGAGTCTAATTTACTATTGCTGTTCTATAGCAGGTCTAAAACTGCTTTTGACCTAAAAGGACGCTTTTTGGACGCAATGGACATTTCTCAATTTCCAGGCAAAAAGAACAGTAAAAATGCAATGTAATTTTTAGGAATAACTCACTGAAATCTGTCCGAACAAGAGTCTAGTAAACATTCCGGGTATGATAAAACTTGAAATACAAAATCATACATTATAATTTAATAAATAATCATAAAAATAATATAATAATAATAAATGTAATTCAATAATATAATCAAACCAAAATCACTGAAATTTGAAATATAGCGCCACGTTCGCACATCGCTGAGCAAAGTCGCAAAATAGTTTTCAGTGTCTGATGATGAATTTCCCCACAAATCATTATCACTCAATTCTGCAAGTGGTTCTGATTTACTATCGCTGTTCTCTAGCCGGTCTAAAACCGCTTTTGACCAAAAGGGACGCTTTTTGGACGCCATGGACTTTTCTAAGTTTCCAGGCAGAAAGAACAGTCAAAATGCAAACAGGGCACAGGACAAAGCAGTAGGGACAAAATGTATGTGAAATGCTTTGATACAGTAATGTTTTACTATGTCAAATTAATTTCTAAGAAAATTACAGTTTCTAAAAATGTTTAAATTTGCCGCCATTCCGGCCCCGTACGTCCCGGCGCTCGCAGGGACCAGAACATGAAAGCCAGATGCCGGCATCGGCCGGAGGAGATGGCCGGGGACGTGGCAGGGGACGCATCGCAGGAGCGAAGGACAAGGTAAGCGCTGCAGGGAATCCCTGAGCAACGCCGCATGGTAAGCCCGAGTGTAACTCGGGGTTACCGCTTTTGGTACTGAAACTTTACCCCGAGCTACACTCGGGAATAACTCCAGGGAGGTTAAAAAAAAGTTATAATCCTATACCTAGAACTGATCCAGAGGAAGGAAACAAAAAAACCAGCTAAGCATGATCCAATTTGCTCCTGCAGGGGAAAACATTCCTTCCCGATCCCCTGAGAGGCAATTGGATATTGCCTGGATCAACTTTACCTATAAATGTCAGTATCCACCTATATTATTTTTATCTAGGAAAGAATCCAGGCCTTTGCCTACCAGGCACTTATACCCCCTTCCTTACCAGGCCAATTTTCAGCTTTCAGCGCTGCCGCACTTTGATTGACAATTGCGCGGTCATGCAACATTGTACCCATATGAAATTTTGATCATTTTTTTCTCACAAATAGAGCTTTCTTTTGGTGGAATTTAATCGCCACTGGGCGCTTTACTTTTTGCGCTATAAATTAAAAAAAGTGCAAAAAATTTGAAAAAAAAAAAAAAAGTTTATTTGTTTCTTTTATAAAATTTTTCAAACAGGTATTTTTTCTCCTTCACTGATTTGCGTTGATGAGGCGGCACTGATGGGCACTGATAGGCGGCACTGATGGGCACTGATAGGCAGCACTAAAGGGCACTGATAGGCAGTACTAATGAGGTGGCACGGATAGGCGGCACTGATAGACAGCACTAATTAGGGGTCACAGATAGGCGGCACTGATAGGCGGCACTGATAGGTGACACTGATGATGGGTACTGATAGACGGCACTGACTGTCATCACTTCTGGGCACTGACTGGCGGCACTGACTGGCACAACCCCTGGGCACTGACTGGTGGCACTGACTGGCAGCACTGCTGGGCTGCACTGGTGGGTGGCACTGGTGGGCAGCACTGGTGGGTGGGCACAGGTGGGTGGCACTGGTGGGCACAGGTGGGTGGCACTGGTGGGCACAGGTGGGTGGGCACAGGTGGGTGGCACTGCTGGGCACATGTAGGTGGCACTTCCGGGCACAGGTAGGTGGCACTGCAGAGTGGCACAGGTGGGTGCACTGCTGGGCACAGGTGGGGGCACTGCTGCGCACAGGTGGGGGCACTGCTGGGAACGGGTGGGCGGGTCTAGTGGGCGCACTGCTGGGCGGAACTTGCGGGTGTCACTGCTGGGCACCGATCATCAGGGCACTGATCATCAGTGCCCTGATGATCGGTGCCGATCCCCGCTCTGACAACTGCCGGTTCTCGGCAGTACTTTCCTCACGATCTGACAGCGTGAGGAAAGTGCAGCCGAGAACCGGCACTTGCATTTCCCTGTGATCAGCGTGTCATTGGACACCGCTGATCACATGGTAAAAGGCCGGTGGGATCGGCCTTTCACCACATCACGTGATCAGCTGTGTCCGTAGGACACAGCGATCACGGAGATCGCCGGGTGCGCGCCCCCTGGGGCGCGCAGGAGAGCGCGTTCTGGGAGGACGTCATATGACGTCCACTCAGAACTGGCCGGCCGCGGTGAAGCCGTCATTCGGCTATGCGCGGTCGGCAAGAGGTTAAAGCAGTCCACTGAGCTGGCCAGAACCAACTCTTGAGGGAGTATATTCCACATTTTCTCAGCTCTTACTGTGAAGAAACCTTTCCGTATTTGGAGATTAACTCTCTTTTCCTCCAGATGTAAAGAGTGCCCCCTTGTCCTCTGTGATGACATAAGTGTGAATAATTCTACACCGAGTTCATTATATGAGCCACTGATATATTTATACATGTTGATCATATCCCCCCTTAATATCCTTTTCTCAAGAGAGAATAAATTCAGTTCCTCTAATCTTTTCTCATAGCTGAGCTCCTCCATGCCTCTTATCAGTTTGGTTGCCCTTCTCTGCACTTTCTCCAGTTCCCCAATGTTCTTTTCGTGAATTGGTGCCCAAAACTGAACTGCATATTCCAGATGAGGTATAACTAATGATTTGTATAGGGGTAAAATGTTATCTCTCTCTCTGAAGTCTATACCTCTTTTAATACAAGAAAGGATTTTGCTCACTTTAGAAACTGCAGCTTGGCATTGCATGCCAGATCCTTCTCCACCATTGATTCCCCCCCATTGAGATGCAAATGTTAATAGCCAACTTAGATGTTGCCCAGACAAAAAATTACCTTAATATTTTTATCTTTGGAAACAGCTGTCTAAAATTAGATTTGAGGGCCAGTGTACAGCATAGAAATGCAGTCTAGATGTGTTCCAGATGCGTTTCCGCATGCGCATTTTTTATGCATTTTTGGCACGTTCCGATGTGTTTTTGATGTGTTCCAGTGCATTTTTGATGCTTTCTGTTTATTTTTTCCCCTCTCTTTTTCTTCAATTTAAATAGGGACGTGTATCTTCCAGTGAGCTTTTGGTGCGTTTTGGTGCGTTCCAGTGCATTTTTTTATGCGTTTTACCGTGTTAAAGTACAGTTCTGTGCAGGAAAAATGTAGCCTGTTTTCCTTTTTTTTATGTAACTGGAATGCACTGGAACTGCAAGTACTGATGTGAACTATGACATTGACAACCATATAACCTACTTTCTGTGCGTTTTGGATGCAGAACAAAAGAACACTGAAAAACCACGATAAATCCACACAAATATTCTTACAGAGCACAGGGCAAAAAACCTTAATTCTTTGCAACTGTGAAGCATCTTTGGAAAAATTGGGTTTGGGGTTTTTGTGGTGTTAAATTACTGTAAACCCACAGAACTATTTGTGCAGAACATCCAAATAATTTTTTGAATGGCAGAATTCTCAAAAAATGGAATCTTCAACAGGGACTTGGTAGTCGTCGATGTTCCAGCTGCTGCAGCATGGCCAAAGTAAATTTCCACTGGGTGGGCAAGTCACATATCAGTAATGGGTAAGACCTTCTGCGCTTATAATGGAACACTATAGAAAAAGCTGCTGACACCTGACCTGACTTCATTAGGTAAAAATACAATGATAAAAGAAATGGTCAAGAGCTAACAATATAAAATACAGGACATATTTATAAAAGAAACAAATAAACAGCAAACAAATAAATGGCATACGTCACAAGACATGTACAGTAAAAATACAGCAGTACTGATCCAATTGGATCTCAAAAGGTGCTATTAAAGTGAAACAGGTTAAACCTGTCGCAATAAAGTGCAAAGTAAATTTCCACTGGGTGGGCAAGTCACATATCAGGTGAATTCCACTGAATTTCACCCAGTCTCACACTGGCTTTATATGACCACCTGTAATGGCTACAAAATTTTCTGGTCTGCCTCAGAAGATCCTGTAAACCAGAGTACTAATCCAGGAAGTGCTGCACCATCATGTTGAGGAGGTGTGCCGGACAGGGCAGGTGTGGGACAGCAAGTTGCTGCTATTGTTACCCATGATCTTTGCTGACAAAAGATGGTATGAGGCTACCCTCCTCTGGGCCTATCCCTGCAGAGCAGATAAAATCTCTACCCCAGTGTGGCACCTGTCCCCAACCAGCTACAAAACTGCATTGCATTGTTTTGCAGGTGGCTGTGCATTGCCTCTAGAATGCTAGCAAGGGGGGTGACTCATCTGAAGCAGGAATTGCGGAGGAGGTTATGAAGGTGACCATGCTGTCACTGTTACCAGCTTTCAGTATGTTAGCAACCAGCTACAATGGCAAGCCTCTTCCTATGTCCTCCCTAAGTGCCATCAGAATTACCCAATGGCCATGAATCCTGTCTGCACATACTTGCAGGACCACATGTCTGTAGTCAGCTAACCCTTCCTGCTAACTGCGGTCCAATGACATGCAAACATTACCTTTTACACAATAGTGGAGGGCAGGGATGGCTTTATGGGTGAAGAAATTAGGAATCACTTCTTCCTCTCCATTTGGGCCTCTCAGATATGATGTTGTTAGCATTGGGCTTCTTTCCCTACTTTAGCATCTATGTAACTGTAAGCGGGGAGAAAGGTTACTTGGGTGCTCTGGGAACTGTGGTACTCTTGTGTGATGTCACCAACAAATTCAAACTGCTTTAGCTTCTGCTGACCCAGTCAAAGATAAAATAAAAATAATAATAAAAGATTCTAACAAAATCAAACACAAATAAAACGGAGCTGAAACACAAAAAAGTAAAATACTTAAAAGAAATACCCAAACAGCAACACTAAGCAAGCAAAAAAAAAAACCTTTTTTGGAAGCAGAAAAAAGTAAATGCTAAAGAAAATAAAGAGAGAAAAATGCCCCTAAAAACAAATACAAAATGGAGAATAGCAGCAACGGAAGTTGTTGCAATACAAAAAAGCAGAAAAAAAGGTGAGCTTATATTTCACTTTCTCTGGCCAGGCCACACAAACTGCAATATCACTGGCAATATACAACCCTGAATATAGTGATGTGTATAGCACTGTATAGCTGCAATGCTATCAGCTTCCCCTCCCACTAAACTCCTACACACCGACATATGGCTGCTGTGGAACAATTCCCACAGAATGTCCCAAAAGTTCAGATTTAATCCAGATGTCCCAACAGCCAAAATTAAATTTGAACATTTGTACTGAACTCTCATCTCATCACTAGTTGCCATAACTACCCAAGGTTAATATTCCTGCTAAATAAACCAAATATTTAAACTGAAAAATATATCTACTAGACTCATGGCCCAAGGAGCTTAAAAAAACTTTCCTTCAACAAAATGTCAAGATGAATGTTAGATGTATAATTTTTCTCTAAAATATTATATACACTGCTCAAAAAAAAAATTAAAGGAACACTTTTTAATCAGAGTATAGTACCAAGTCAATTAAACTAATGGGATATAGATCTGGTCAGTTAAGTAGCAGAGGGGGTTGTTAATTAGTTTCAGCTGCTTTGGTGTTAACGAAATTAACAACAGTTGCACTGGATGGGCAACAATGAGAGGACCCCCAAAACAGGAATGGTTTTACAGGTGGAGGCTACTGACATCTTTTTCCCTACTCATCTTTTCTAACTGTTTTTCACTAGTTTTGCATTTGGCTAGGGTCAGTGTCACTATTGGTAGCATGAGACATTACCTGGACCCTACAGAGGTTGCACAAGAAGTCCAACTACTCCAGGATGGCACATCAATACGTGCCATTGCCAGAAGGTTTGCTGTGTCTCCCAGCACAGTCTCAAAAGCATGGAGGTGATTCCAGGAGACAGGCAGTTACTCTAGGAGAGCTGGACAGAGCCATAGAAGGTCCTTATCCCATCAGCAGAACCGGTATCTGCTCCATTGTGCAAGGAGGAACAGGATGAGCACTGCCAGAGCCCTCCAAATGAACTCCAGCAGGCCATTAGTGTGAATGTCTCTGACCAAACAATCAGAAACAGACTTCATGAGGGTGGCCTGAGGGTCCAAAGTCCTCTACCGGGCCCTGTGCTCACTGCCTGGCACCATGAACTCGACTGGCATTTGCCATTGAACACCAGAATTGGCAGGACCGCCACTGGCACCCTGTGCTTTTCACAGATGAGAGCAGGTCCACCCTGAGCACATGTGACAGACCTGAAAGTGTCTGGAGAAGCCGTGGAGAACGTTATGCTGTAACTTTGTTCAGCATAACCGTTTTAGTGGTGGGTCATTGCTGGTCTGGGGAGGCATATCCATGGAGGGACGTACAGACCTCTACAGGCTAAACAATGACACCCTGACTGCCATTAAATATAGGGATGAAATCCTTGAACCCATTGTCAGATCCTACACTGGTGCAGTGGGTCCTGGGATCCTCCTGGTGCGCGACAATGCCCGGCCTCATGTGGCGAGACTATGCAGGCAATTCCTGGAGGATGAAGGAATTAATACCATTGAATGGCCCCCCACGCCCGCCTGACCTAAATCCAATAGAACACCTCTGGGATAGCATGTTTCGTTCCATCCGATGATGTCAGATTGCACCTCAGATTGTCCAGGTGCTCAGTGATGCGTTTGGCAAGCGTTGGTCCGGCGTTTGCAGAGCATTTTTTAACGCTCGGCAAACGCCGCATGCGCGGTTTAGCGGTGGTTGCTAGGCGTTTGCCGAGCGTTAATAACGCCCCACAAACGCCTATAATGCAGTTTGAGTGGTGTTACCGCTCCGCAAACACCCCGCAACCGCCGGGCGTTTACGGAGCGGCACCATAGACTAGAATAGGAGGCTTCGACGCCTCCTGACTCGACCAGAGGCGTCCGTTTTGCCGCGACGCAATTCGACGCAAACGCTCCCGTTAGAACAGCACTATGTGCTGTAATATGCAGAATTGGCAGAGGCATTTGGGAAGCGGTAAAAACGCTTCCCAAACGCCTCTCTGCCGCCTG